AGTGAGCAGGAAGGGCCGCTTCACATCACAATTCTCACAAACTCTCACTCTCACCCGTGGCCAGACCCGGCGTTCGCAACACCGCGGCACTTACAGTACTTTTACAAAGTTCGCGATTTTGTGCTTCGTTTTAAATTTGTAAAAGGTCATCGTTTGTGAAATTTGCCATCAATTAATTTGTTACCACAATTTAATAAGTGGTCTGAGAGCTGCAGTTCCCCTTTGAGGGCAGTGTCGGCTCGGGGAACTGGCCGTGATAGCTGGGCTGCTCGTTTGCTCTGTCTTTTAGGATAAGAGATGCTCTCTGACACAATGGAGACATTTAAGTCCCTTGTGCAGGGGTGCATTTAGTTATGCAACAAACACAAAATCAACTCTGTATCTGGGGTATTGTCCTGTCTCTAGGCTCTCTCACGCTGTCCTACCCTTACTGCAACCCTTGGAGAGCAAACGATTACAGGTTTTATTTGCCCAAGATGACATTTGCCTTTTGTTGTACTGTCAGCTGGGTGGAGGGAATTGTGTGAGTTGTAGTCTTCCGCCCTACAGCTCCTCCAGCTCATTTATAGCCTCTCTTGCCCTCAAAGCGCAACAGAGAAGTGCCTATAGAGAAGGTGGAAAGGCACTTTGGTTACAAACCTCTACGTAGTTGGAAGAGTTTGTAAGGCAAATGTGATGCCATTGAAAATCGAAGTCAAGCAGGCAATGTGGGGCAGCGGTGCTTTCTGATTTAATTGTTCAGTGTCTGTTTGTGGGGTGGCGGATGGTCTCTTGGGGTGGCCCCCCAGGACCCAGTTTTAGACATGTTTTAAATATGTGGCACTGATATGATTGCTTGCTGCATATTAAAGATTCACATCCAAGTGTCAGTGTTGTCTACACTTTCCTAACCAGCCATTGCCTAAAAGCACCCAGAGAGCCCAGCCGCAATTTCGTTGTCATAATAATATTGTACCTTCATCTTGAGGCGTGAGAGGCTCGCCCTTGTAATTCCAGGATGAAGAGCAGCAGTGTGCTGGAGCTGGCTTGGACTCTGGCTCTGCTATTCTGTTCCGGCTCTCCTTGGATGCTAAGGGCTTTTTCTAACCATGGCAT